GCATGCTCGAAAACAAGCATTCCACCAAATACGGCGTATTTAGGCAAGTTCTTGGCATGCTTGAAAACAAGCATCCCACTAAATACGGCGTATCGAGGTAAGTTCTTGGCATGCTCGAAAACAAGCATTCCACTAAATACAGCGTATTTAGGCAAGTTCTTGGCATGCTCGAAAACAAGCATTCCACTAAATACGGCGTATTGAGGCAAGTTCTTGGCATGCTCGAAAACCAGCATTCCACTCAATACGGCGTATTTAGGCAAGTTCTTGGCAGGCCCGAAAACAAGCATTCCACTAAATAAGGCGTATTGAGGCAAGTTCTTGCTCGAAAACAAGCATTCCACTAAATACGGCGTATTTAGGCAAGTTCTTGGCAGGCTCGAAAACAAGCATTCCACTAAATACGGCGTATCTAGGCAAGTTCTTGGCATGCTCGAAAACAAGCATTCCACTAAATGCGGCGCATTCAAGGCAGGTTGTTGAAGGCCGGTTTGGTGCAAAAGTAGCACTAAATGCCCGGATTTTGTGGCATGGACCCAGCCAGTGCAAAAATTACACCAATTTTGCACTCCTCATCCGATGAAAGAAAAGTTTATAACACCACCGGAAAGTGTTAAACCCCAACCCCTTTGAACTTAAACGTTATGAGAACTTATGAGAAAGGCAAATGAAAGACATACCTATTCCATTGCTACTTGAATTTCATGATTGCGCTCTTGAGGAGGAGTAGCAGGAAGGGGGGCCAGCCCTTTTGAGCTTAAACCTTATGCGAACGGCAAATCGCCAAATAGCGGAAACGAAAGAACGATTATTCCATACCAGTTTGCATTATCTTTGAGGGCGGGGGGGGAGGGGGGTCGGGGAGGGCAGAGGGGGCGAGGGGGGCAGGGGGGCGGGGGGTGGGCTCTCGCAACCTGACTTCAAAGACCTATATACCGCCCGGCCCTCCCCCAAGCACACCAAAGTTTATAAATCCCAGCAAGGGTTATAAACCCCAACAGGTTAAAACAATATTGTCATCTTATGTTATCTCCGATTTATGGATAGCAGACTTGAAGGTGTCGCCAAGGACCTTAATCATAAGAAGCTGCTTCAACATATTTATCAGATAATTAGAAGAAGCTTCAATATAATGTCTATTTTCCCTATCCGGGTGGCGGGGGGGGAGGGGGGCTCCTTTGTTCTTATGACGCTCCCCAAGACTGGCTAAGGAAAGGCTTGGAGAAACTCCGTGCAGCCGCCAAGAGGCCTTGTAGTGGCTTTAGGGTTTAAGGGTTTAGGGTTTTAGGGTTTTAGGGGTTAGGGGTTTAGGGTTTAAGGGTTTGGGGTTTAGGGTTCAGGGATGTCTAAGGAGCACAGGGTGACATACTACTGGGTTCCTGTTAAGGAACTGAAGTCGCCATGATCTGAGCATGTGTATATCTATAATATATGGTAGTTGCCCTAAATAAGGGGGCCCCAATATAGACCCCAAAATATTATAGTCCTCATTATGGGGACCCCCAAAAGGGTACCCCTTATTTTGGAAAACCCCCATATGCATTTATTTGTCTATGTTCATGCAGAGTATGAAGAGCAGGGTCTCCTGGCTTCCTTAACAGCAGCAGACTGCATCCTGGTGTAACCCTCAATGGCGTAAGTACTACTCTGGTATTGGGTTTAGGGTTTAGGGTGGTCAAAAAGCCCAGTGATTGTAAAGAAAGTCATGGGTATGTCAACATCACGACCCAAACCTTAGGCAGTTCTCAAGCAAAGCAGGTGGAAGAGAGCTGCAAGAAAGGCATTCGCATCGAGATCGAAAATTCGCCCTTCCCCACACTGAGGGCCATGAGGTTCGTACTCAAGCATGCTCGTTTACAGACCATTGCAGCTTGCGTCTGTAACTGCTGACCCAGCTGCTTTTCGCATCCTACATGCGCAGTCCCAAACCGCAAATCCTTCAAACCTAAATTCCCAAACCCTCCAAAACCTGAACACCCTTAGCCATCCATACGATGCTGTACGATGCTGTTGGGGCCCAAGATGTGGATGTTTCTATAGTGGCCGGGCAGCTGGCTGCTTCAGGGAATGCTGCGGCATGTCGCAGCAATACTTTTGCAGCATCTGCTGCTCTGCAGGTCTAGGATTTCAGGTTTAAACGGATGTAGGCTTTAGGCTTGCTGCTTAAGTTGCCATTAATCAAGTTTTGGGTTCTTTGATGCCGTGTGTTGGGAAGCAAAACGAGTTTGCAATCCTCTTTGGTTTGGCTTGGCTTCAGACATGCAATCTTGACTTCTCGGCCTTGCATAACTAAGGATTAGTGGGGGACAGGCCTCATACCCGCTGAGACCGCCAGAGACATCGTTGAAGTGCACATGCTCGGGTGGTGGAGATGGACTTGGATGGAGCTATGTGCTTGACAGATGCATGGAGGGAGAAACAACTTCGTGCTGGGAGTGTCCATGGTTGGCTAAATGTGCTCGTATCAGCACTTTTGCCGGAAACGGCATTCAGCTATTCTATGGTGACTGCCGCAGCAGCACTCAAGCATGTACTCCCGCTGACGAGTCGTCCATTGCATTTGCGGTTGGCCTCGCGGTTGACGACATGGACAACATCTATATCTCGGATCAGGGCAACAACCGCATCCGCAGCTCGGTTTGTACTGGGTGGTTGAGGTCTGGCCACTGCTCTACTGCAGGTGCTTTGCATGTCAGGGGGATCATTGCATCGGCCATAGATGCTTGGAGACATGACCGTCGCGATAGCAGGGAGGGGTGTCACCAGCATCCAGCAGCATTGCACCACAAATGCGCGCAGCAGCTGATGGCCAGCGCTGGTGGCAGGAAGGGGACGGCGCCTGCCTGTCTGCCTTGCCTGGCCTTCGACAAAGACGATGCGCGCCACCACCAAACACCGCCATCGCCGCCGCCGCCACAGCCACCACGACCACCACGACCACCGCGACCACCACGACCACCACGACCCTGACGACCACGGCCACAACGACCACAATGATCACGACCGCCACGACGACCACGGCCATGACGACCTGAACGATCACGACGACTGCGGCCACGACGACCGCAACGATCACGACCACCACAACGCTCACGACCACCACGACAACCATGACCACCACGACCGCCAAGACCGTCACGACCACAATAACTGCGACTACCATGACGACCATGGCGACGACGTCGGGGCCAGGACGACAAGCGGAGCAGAACAACCGAAATTCCCGCCCCGGCCGCTGGCATGCGTGACAGCGACGGCAGCGAACAGTCCTCCTCATGTTCCTTCTCACCCCCGATCTTGTAATACTACAGCAGCAGCAGGAAAAGTAGCAGAAGCAGTACTGCCGCTTTACTATCATGATCTTTTGTGTTCTTATCATGGGACAGCTGCAGCTGGGAGCCCAACGTGAACAAGGTTCTTCCTTTGATTTGCACGCTCCGCCCTGTGGCCGACATCTAGCAACCCAGACCCTCCCTTATTGCTTTGGAAATTAAAGCGGTCAGAATTCCTGTAGTTCGGCTTTTGCTGATCAATTCATTGCATCAGGCATGCTTGACAAAAACCGGAATGCCCTGGTGACCATTGCCGGCACTGGGGAATCTGGCTTTCAAGGTGATGGAGGAAATGCACGTCTCGCTTTGCTCAGGAAGCCTGAAGGGTTGGCCGTGAAGCCTGGACTGGAGGTTGGAGCTGACAATGCAGCTTGGAAGTTTTTGGATGACAATTTGACTTTTTCCTAAATGCTTATAACCCATCATGGAATGACGGAGACATATTCGATATAGTACCTCAACATGAGTCCAGGTAGGCCGCGAGCTATACTTTGCAGATTTCGTGAACCAGCGAATTCGCAAACTCGTGCGCGGCACGAACGAATGGACCATCTATACTGTGGCAGGCAGCGGGGTCATGGGTGATGACCCGCTTTGTGACAGCGGGTGTCTTGCTCTTGAAGCGAGCTTATGGAATCCGCGTTCCTTGGCATTTGCGTCCAACCAAGACCTGTACTTCGTCGACTCGGGCAGCCACAAAATTCGTAGGCTGACCACCAGCTTGGGGGACCCCAGGGCCAATCCAAACGCAACGATCTCAACATTTCTTGGGAATTCTGACTGGACTGCAGAAAACGGGATGTGGCAGGCCTTCCGTGGCGTCGCGAAAGTGATGCTGCCTGGCCATTTCGAAAGTCCAAATGCAGACCTTCACTTGCGAGCGCTGTATGCCTTAACAATCGACAAGTATGATCGCCTCTGGACAATCGACAGCGACAGCAACAGGATTTTCATGGCACCACTTGTGGCTGGGTTGCTGCTAAGGAGCTTAACCTATTTCATGTTCCTTTTTCTTGCCCATGTGCTGCTACACTTTCCTTACTTGACCGTAAACCCCCTGCAATCCCCATTTAGCTTTACATAGCCCCTAAAAACCTTATTCAACTCCCGTAGCTCCCTGACGGGATCGCAATTCCTTAAAACTGCCTCCCAGGTCAACAGGACATTGGTTTGGTTAGTCGATGACTTCGGCAACTTCCTTGCAAGGTTGGTTGCCTCCAAGTTCAAGGACAACAGCACCTAGGTGGCAATAGCCGATACCTGGACCCCAAAAGTATGTAAAATAATGGCCTTTATGGCTGTTATTATGGGTTTAGGGCTATTATTTTACATGCTTTTGGGGTTTAGGTAGTTACTTCCCTCTCCAAGGGTTTTAGGGTCTTGGCTGTAGGGTGGCAACTGTCCGCCTGAGTACGTGTGAACGAGAAAGAGTTTAGGGTTGCAATCCCCGCCCCTAATACTGTTGATGGATGAAATCTTGCACCACGTAGAGGCCCTAAACTACTGTAATTCCTAGGACTTCAGGGACTTAAGGTGGTGCAAGATTTCCTCCATCAACAGTAGTGACCCCGCCCCCAGAGTTGATAAACACACCCCTGCATATATTCTGGTACTATGTTGGGGCAGTATGAAAGTTTGTGGGTGAGCTGGATTTGCCTCACGGAGCTGCTGGGTAGGTGCGCTTGACAGTTTGCAACTCCTGTAATCCTACGTGAAAAAAGGTGTAAACTTCTTCTATCTAAGGAGCCCAGTAACTGGGCTTATGGGATACTTACCTGTCTTAAAGGAGAACCTTTACTGTTACCTTCTTGGGTAATGGAAATGCCCCAGCTGGCCGACAAGGTAAGTATTGGATAAGCCCTAGACATTGGACACCGAAAGATGATGACCTTCCCTTATACTGGCCTTTGGTTAGCCAGGAATTAAGATGTGGATCCTTATAGCAGTCCCCACACAACCCACCACAGTAGTCCAGGGGCCGGCATGGTTGCACAAGGAGACAGGTCAAAAAGTCACGCTGGCCTAAACCCTAAACTCTCAACCCTAAACCCTTCAAACCTAAACCGTCATACCCTAAACTCTTCAACCCTAAACCCTTCAACCCTTAAACCCTAAACCCTAAACCCTTCAACCCTAACCCCTAAACCCTTCAACCCTAAACCCCTAAACCCTAAACGATGTTCAGCTCAGGCACTCAAGTGAACGCCACAACAGCGGACCTGGAGAGCATGGAGTTGCTCTCCTTTGGTTAGGAAGGAATGAAAGCATGTGTCCTTATTACCCTATACTCCTTGGCACTTAGCTTGGACCTTAGACCCTTAACCCTTTGGGATTTCCCTTATATTCCAATTATAGCTACCTAAGGGTTAACCCTTAGTAGGGGTCCTAAGTGACATGTAGGAATGAAAGCATGTGTCCTTATTACCCTATAGTCCCCCTTAAGTAGATAGAATATGGGGTTATAATGGGATAATGGTAAAGAACATGAGAACAACTATTTAGGGTTTAGAGGTATAGGGGTATAGTCCCCCTTCAGTAGATAGAATATGGGGTTTATGGGGATCTCATTATAACGTATCCAAAGCCTTATTCTATCTACCTAAGGGGGACTATAAGCCCTAAACCCTAAGCCAAGGTTTTGGGTTTGGAGTTTGGAATGCAGGGTTCAGGGAAGGAGGCATGGCGACCTTTCTTAGTAGTCCCCATATGAGCTGTAGTCTAAACTCCTTAAAGGGGGTTATATAGGGGATTATATAGGGGACTACTATAGGGCTTGTTAAGGGAGCTACTAAGAGTTTAGACTAGAGCTCATATAGTTCCCTGAAATAGTGTACTCTGCATGCTCTCTTCCATTCCCTCAACCTTCAGTAGCAGGTTTATTTTTATTCCATTGTTTGAATAAACCCTAAGCCCCCAAAAGTAGCCGGCATTTCTTTGAATTCTCTAAGCTTCAAAGCCCCCGAAACCCTAAATTAGCAGTTTCCATGTTCTTTTTCATTCCTTCTAAACCCTAAACCCATTATAGTAGTTGTTCCTTAACTTTCCATTTCTTCATTCCCCACCAGCCAGAGCACAGGTTGACTTGGGCCAACAGCCTGAAAACCTGGCTTCCACTGGAATTCCCGGACCTTGTATCAGCTGCGACGGTGAGCGTGCAGCTTACTGGTGGATAAGGTTTAGGACTTACCTTAGGCTTTAGGGAATGGACGAAAGGATGTTATAGTAGTTGCTATAGAATCCCCAATAAATGTCCCTATAGCACGGTCCTTCATGTTAAACCCACAAAAACCTTGAATATACTTGAATACCGTATCAAGAACCCCTACTAGACCTTAGATGGCCTCGAATATAGCATCAACAACGCTAAGCCTTCATAGCCTCAAATACCAACAGTTTCCATCCGTTCCCTACTAGACACCAGTAAGGCAGACCCGCGTCTCCGCCTACAAGCCAGGGCTGCTAGATTGCAGTTGAATGCGTTTTGGAGTTTAGGGCAGTTAGGGTAATTAGGGTTTCGGATTTAAACACGGCTAGTAAAACGGTGTCGTGCGTCATCGTCGTCGTCATCGTCATCCTCATTGTCCTCCTCCTCCTCGTCGTCGTCGTCGTCGTAGTAGTAGTAGTAGTAGTAGTACTAGTAGTAGTAGTAGTAGTAGGAGGTCCGCGTCCCGTTTGTGACGCCGCATTTTTGTGTACT